GCAAAGTATGGATAATTACTCATGAGGCGATAACTACCTGCAGGATACTGGACCCAAACATCCTCTCGAGCTGGCAGATCAGAGAGAGAGAGTTGCTGACCGGCTCCCACGGAGACAGCATAGGCCTCAGAGTTTGGAGTTTCTCCTCCCCCTCCTCTCTCCGCACTGTCCTCTCTTATGCCCGGTGCATACTGGCATGTAGGGTCAGTATGACTCAGGAGGCAGGCCGGGAGGCAGACAAACTCCGCCTTCAGTTGCGCAACTCTTCCCCCTTGGGTGCGCAGGCGTGCATATCAGTCAGGGGTCCCAGCCCTCAATTCGAGGGTCCTGCCTTCCTCATCTTCTTCCTCATTTCTGGGTGTTTGACCTCCAAAGCTAGTTTGGAGGACGTCTGCGGTTAAGTTGGCTGCAAGCCCGAGCTAGCTGACGGCTTCAACAGGTTTTCGGAGGGGGCTGCCTGTGAACCGGACTGAGCAGCTGCATCTGTGCTCCTTATCACTCAGCCTAGGCAGGCAAGCATCTTCTTTCTCAAGGTCTGCCCTCTGCTTCTCACAGGAGATTTTTATGACTCTAAAGATCATAGAAATTTCCATCTCCAATACAGGGTGTCTATCATCTCTCTGCATAGATGGTTAAGAACCCAATTTTGGGACAACAGATATATCTGCTTATCTAACAGGAAGGTCACCTTCTGGTGCCCTGTGTGCGGAGATAAAGTCAGTCTGTGCAACCGGGGTTAATGAGTTACATCCTACATGATTTCTGAGCTTCAGGAGCACCTCGCCCTTGCCCATCTCCTCTGAGCCTTCTTCCATGGTAGGGATTATTGAGTGGTTACACTCCCCCTTTCTCTGACTCTCCCCCTCTCCTCCTCTCTCTCACTTTCTCAGTCTCTCAGTCTGTCTTCCTCTGCCTTTCTTTCACTCTTTTCACTGTCTCCCTCCCTGTCATTTTCTCTCTATTTCCCTGTTTCAGGTTCTCTCTCTCCCTCTCTTTCACCCTCACCCTCACTCATGCAGGGGAAGATAAGGAGTGGAGGCATCTCTGCTTTCCCTGCTGGCTGCCTGTGCCTAGGTGTGTATGGGGGTCCCCAAGAGTGGATTATGCACAGTCTGAAATCCCTAGGAGCAGCCATGATGGGAAAGTTCAGACACTTGCAGGCAATGCCAGGCTAAGCAAAGGAACCTTCCATATAAAGAAAATTCAAACCCACCAGGCCGACAAGGGGAGCTGACTCTGTAGCAATAAAAATCTTGCACTAGGGTCAATGCTTCCTTTATGGGGTAAAGATTTTTTATGTTTTCTTTCTACTAACTCTAGAATTTAAGATACTAGATTGTTAAACCCCTGGAGTGCAAAAGCACTCAGAGAAAAAATCTATTCCTGTCACAACCCCTCTTCTCCTTGTTCACTGTGCCTACCAGTCCAAAATTATTCCCTGTGTTTAGCTTCCTTAGGAAGGGATGCCAAAGGGCTGAAAGCAACTGCTGGCTGAAAACCCTATCAGTTCCTTCATTCACAATCAAAACACTGCAGTCAGTCTTATCCTAAGAATCAGGGCTAGGATCTCTTCAAATACAGCTGCTTCCTTCCTTTGAATGGACTGTCAGTAGGACTCTGTGGAGCTTGTTTGCTGGGGTGGCCCCTGCCCAACCAAAGAGGCAAGAACAAGGTTTATTCCTCAGATAAACAGGAAGATATTGAGGGGAGATAAGTTGTGTATAAGCAGTCTTTATTATAGATGTGATATTAAGAAGCTGAGAGATCCTTGGTAGGTGTTGCTCACTCCCAGTGACTGCAGGTAGTAGGTTCCCCAGGAAGTGAGTTAAACCAATCTGTGCAGAAGTAAGGGACTGAAGGAAAACAATCCCTGGAGTCTGACAGCCTGTATGGATTTCCTTCATCTGAGGTTATGGCTGAAAATGGCTTTCATTATGCTTGGTTCTCTGCATTAGGAAGGTTTTTAAAGTACTTCATGTTGTAACAGGCTTTCATCCTTCCATTCACCCTTTCAATAGCCCACAGGATGAATATCCTTTTGTCCACTCTCCCACTGTATGTCTTTTGTAGAATCTGACATCCCAAGAACAAATTTGGTACTGGAAATAGCAAGGAGGACTGAAAGGGTATTTTCTGTGCCTATGAGAACTTGATGTTTCACTCCCTCTGCTAGCTGGTCCACACAGGAGACAGAGACTATCACTACCTGCAAGGAGAGCTAGCACTCCCTTGTGGTTTCATATCTGCTCAAGCCAAGAACCTCAGCAGGGTGATCCACCCCATGCCCATTCCTGCACCTTTCTGGAGTTGGTCCCAGATATTGCCTGGGTGGCTGCCTACTTATTTAGATCAAAACACAAATAACTCTACTGAGAAAATGAACTTGCTTTCAATCAGATCAGCAAGCTGCTCTGACTCACCCTGTAGTCATGTACTTAGAGTAAGCAGGGAGCCCATGTGACAGAAAGCGACTCTGTTATTTGCAGGTTGATTTTTCAACTGATTCCCCTGGGGTGCAGTAGCAACCATGCACAGCTGAAGTGGTGATCACTTTCAGTAGTAGGGGTGGGAGGAGTGGGTAACAACATACTATATGACCTTTTGGTAGCAGCTTGCAGGGCAGGTAATTTCAAGATGTTCTTAAGGTACAGCCTGGACTCCAGCAGCACGTGATGATACAAACTCAGAGAAATGCTGCATGCAATAACTGACAGGCATAGATGCTTACAGCCCAATTATCACCCTGAACTAGAACTCCAGAAAGGCAGGTTTAAGCAGTACTGATAATGCTGGGGAAGGTACCATACATTTTTTGCAGGAAGAATTGGAGTAGAACTGGCATACTCCAGCTGATAACATGCTCCATTTGGCTCTCGAGACCTAACTCCCCAGGTCCCCTATATCTGCATTAGAAGTTACCACCTTGCTTAAGGAACCCCAAACTAATGGGGTACAGTTAGCAACTGAACCAAAAGGGATATTCAAAGTCATAAACTTTATTCCTGCAACTGAAAAAGAAAGGAAAAATGCACAGGTTACTGATAAATGACTGGTGGCTGACATTTAACCGATGGTGTATCAGTAATGACGTTGCTGATTGGCTGATCTTGTGTGTTGAGGCGACACGGAACAGTGGATGAGGTTCTGTGATTGGCTGTGGTGATTCGCGGCTTTAAAAAAAATAAAGAAGGAAAGAAAGAAAGAAAGCTTGCTCTACGCAGTGGTATGGTGACGCCATTTCCGGGTGCCACTGTTACAGAGTAGGGTTGGAAAGGGGGAAAAAGATCAAAACGAACCGGAGATTGAAAATAGCAGCTATTCTTGGTCCTTCTCTGGCACCTCTCTTAGCAGGATATAAAGAGAAGCAATTAGGAGCCTGCAGGTGAGGTCAGTGTATTTGTGTGTGTGTCTGTGTATTTGTGTATATATATATATGTGTGTGTGTGTGTGTGTATGGGTGTGTAGGGCTGTGTGTATGTATATGTGTGTAGGGGTGATTGTGTGTGTGTGTGTATGGGTGTGTGTATATATGTGTGTATATGTGTGTGTGTGTGTGTGTAGGGGGCTGTGTGTGTGTGTGTGAATGTATAGGTGTGTGTGTGTATGTGTGTATGTATGGGTGTGTATATGTCTCTGTGTGCGTGTGCGCGCCTGTATGTGTAGGGGTGTGTGTGTATGTGTGTGTGTGTGTATATATATTTGTGTGGCTATATCTGTGTGTGTATATATGTGTGTGCATGTGTATGTATGTGTGTGTATAGCTGTGTGTGCACGTGTGTGTTTAGAGGGCTGTGTGTGTGTATTTGTGTGTATGTATGAGTGTGTGTGTTTGTGTGTGTGAGTGAGCATGTGCGTGTATGTATATGTGTGTGTGTATGCGCATGTATATGTGTGTGTATGGGTGTGCGTGTATATGTGTATATGCGTGTGTGTGTGTATATATATGAGTGTGTGCATGTTTGTGTGTGTATATGTGTGTGTATAAATTTGTGTGTGTGTGTATGTGTCTGCGTAACTGTGTAAGTGTGTGTGTGTGCCTGTGTGTGTAGGGGTGTGTGTTTGTGTAGGTTTGCGTGTGTATTTGTGTGTGTCTGCATGTGTGTGTGAATGTATAGGTGTGTGTGTGTATGTATGGGTGTGTATATGTCTCTGTGTGTGTGCGTGTGCGCGCCTGTATGTGTGGGGCGTGTGTGTATGTGCGTGTTTGTGTGTGTGTATATATTTCTGTGGCTATATCTGTGTTTGTGTATATGTGTGTGTGTGTATATATGTGTATATCTGTGTGTGCACGTGTGTGTTTAGGGGGCCGTGTGTGTGTATATTTGTGTGTGTGTATGGGTGTGTGTGTATATGTGTGTGTAAGTGTGTGAGTGAGCATGTGTGTGTATGTATATGTGTGTGTATAGCTGTGGGTTTGTGTGTGTGTGTGTATGTGTATGCGCGTGTATATGTGTGTGTATATCTGTGTGTATGGGTGTGCGTGTGCATGTGTATATGCGTGTGTGTATATATATGAGTGTGTGCGTGTTTGTGTGTGTATAAATTTGTGCGTGTGTGTATGTGTCTGCATAACTGTGTAAGTGTGTGTGTGTGCCTGTGTGTGTAGGGGTGTGTGTGTTTGTGTAGGTTTGTGTATTTGTGGGTGTCTGTGTAGGTTTGTGTGTGTGTTTGTGTGTGTTTATGTGTGTGCATGTGTGTGTGCATATGTGTGTGTATATTTGAGTGTATGTTTGTGTGTATGTGTGTATAGAATCATAGAATGCTTAAGGTTGGAAGGGACCTCTAGAGGTCATCTAGTCCAACCCCCCTGTACACGCAGGGTCACCTAGAGCACGTGGCACAGGACTGCATCCAAGCGGGTTTTGAAGATCTCCAGAGAAGGAGACTCCACAACCTCTCTGGGCAGCCTGTTCCAGTGCTCTGTCACCCTCACTGTTAAGAAATTTTTCTTTAAGATCCTATTGAATTTTTGATGTTTCAGTTTCCGGCCATTTCCTCTAGCCCTATCAGTGGCCACCACTGAAAAGAGACCATCCCCGTCCTCTGCACTCCCTCCCTTGAGGTACTTATAGACACTGATTAGATCCCCTCTCAGCCTTCTCTTCTCCAGGCGGAACAGGCCCAGCTCCCCCAGCCTCTCCTCATAGGGCAGATGTTCCAGGCCCCTGAGCATCCTGGTAGCCCTGCGCTGGACTCTCTCCAGCAGCTCCACATCCCGCACCCCAGGATCCCATTGGCCTTCTTGGCCACGAGGGCACACTGCTGCCCCAGGTCCTTCTCTGCAGAGCTGCCCTCTAGAAGGTCAGTCCCCAGCCTGTACAGGTGTCTGGGGTTATTCCTCCCCAGGTGCAGGACCTTGCACTTGGCCTTGTTGAATTTCATGAGGTTTTTCACCACCCAGTTGTCCATTCTGTCCAGGTCCCTCTGGATGGCAGCACAGCCCTCTGGGGTATCAGCTACTCCTCCCAGTTTCATATAATCAGCAAACTTGCTGAGGGAGCACTCTGTGCCTTCATCCAGGTCATTAATGAATAAATTGAACAGGACTGGAATATGTGTTTATATATGTGTATATGGATATGTCTGTGTGTTTGTGTGTGTGTATGTATTTGTGTGTGTTTATATGTGTGTGTGTGCATGCATGTGTGCATATGTCTGTGTGTGTGTGTAGGTGTGTGTGTGTATGTATGCGGATGCGTGTGTGTATATATGTGTGTATGCGCGTGTGTGTGCATATGTGTGTAGGGGAGTGCGTGTATATGTGGGGGTGTGTCTGTGTATATGTGTCTGTGTATATGTGTGTGTGCGTGTATATATGTGTGTGATGGTGCATATGTGTTTATGTGTATGTGTACATATGTGTCAGTGTTTTTTGTGTGTAGGGGGTGTGTGTATATGTATGTGCGTATATGTGTGTGTATGTCTTTGTGTGTGGGGGGTGTAGCTGTGTGTATATGTGTGTGTATGTTTGTGTGCATATATGTATGTGTGTTGTGTGTATATGTGTGTGTATATGGGTGTGTGCATATGTCTGTGTGTGTATGTGTGTATATATTTGTGTGTGTATGTATGTGTGTATATGTGTGTATATGTGTGTGTGTGTGTATATGGGTGTGTGCATATGTCTGTGTGTGTATGTGTGTATATATTTGTGTGTGTATGTATGTGTGTATATGTGTGTGCATGTGCGTGTGTGTGTAGGGGTGTGTGTGTGTAGATACGTGTGTATATATATGTGTGTATTTGTATGTGTGTGAGTATATGTGTATGTGTATGTGGGTGTGTGTGTAGGTGTGTCTGTATATGTGTATGTACGTATGTGTGTGTACGTGTGTGGGGGGGTGTAGGGTGTGTGTGTGTGTGTTTATGTGTATGTGTGTAGGGGGTGTGTGTGTGTATGTGGGTGTATATGTGGGTGTATGCATATGTATGTGTGTGTGTATTTGTGTGTGTATATATGTGTGTGTCTGTATGTGTGTATTTGTGTGTATGTGTGTGTATATGTGTGTGTGTGTGTATTTTTGTGTGTGTGCCTATGTTTTTGTATGTATGTTTGTGTGTGTGTATATGTGTGTGTTTGCATGCATGTGTATATGTGTGTGTGCATGTTTCTGTGTGTATATGTGTGTGTATATAAGTGTGTTTGTATATATCTGTGTATGTGCGCCTGTATGTGTGCATGTGTTTATGTGTGTGTGTGTATATATGTGTGTGTATATATATTTGTGTATATATCTGTGTGTATGTGTATATGTGTGTATATATTTCTGTTTGTATATATGTGTGTGTATATATTTGTGTTTGTATATATTTGTGTGTGTGCATATACATGTGTTTGTATGTGTGTCTGTTTCTGTTTATATGTGTTTGTGTGTATATGTGCGTATATATGTGTGTTTGTATATGTGTGTATGTGTGCACCTGTGTGTGTGTATCTGTGTTTATATATGTGTGTTTATATATGTGTGTGTGTGTCTATATATGTTTGCGTGTATATGTGTGTGTGCGTATATATTTGGCTGTGTTGTGCTTGTGTGTACTGTGAACTGAGGGGGAGGGTGCGTGTGCTGGGGTGAGCTGCTGAGTGTGAAGGGGGTGTGTGCATCAGTGGGCTGAGGTATTTTGTTCCTGTCGATTTGCTTATTTAGTTGATGGTAAGGAGAGTAGGTGGTGTGCCTGCTGCGCATGATTTAGGAGGTGAGTGACGTAAGAGGATTGGATAGGGAATGAGCTATACCTCTCTTTCTCGGACCATTCCCTTGCACCCCCTTGGGCTGCTGTGAGATCTTCTTCACAACTTTTGCCTTGTTCTCCTTGCAGTCTTGCAGTGTATTTTTGTGAGTGGTGTAACATGCATAAAGGTGTAGCAGTACATACAATGTTAAATAACTGGGTACCATACAGAGTAGTTCTGGTGACTTCAGTGTGATGGTATTGTATGAACAAGAAGCTTGCAACACTGAGATCTATCTGTTCAGCCAGTGCAGCTGAAGTGATGGTATTTAAGTAGGAATACTCCTTTAAATAGTAAGGATGGTATTGGCTTGTGTTTAAAAAGTAACTGAAGGATAGTTTGTAATTCCTATATAGCAGTAGGTGCTTTATTTATACTTTTGATGGTATGCTTATGTTGTCATTTAGTTTTCCTCTTAACAGATTCAAAATTTTTGTTGTTATATACAATTCTGTCATGTTCAAACCATCATCTACAAATACAGAGCCAAGAGGGAGCAAGGTATTCAGAGACACCATTTAACACTTAAATAAACAAAAGAAAAATCTAGTGAACTGAAACTGATATTTTGCCTCTGCTTCAGTACCTGTAAAAAGTACTGGAGGTATTGTATGTGTTTAAATCTAGAATTTCTGCTTGATTTGCAGATAGTAATGATAGTTGAATACGCTATAGTGTTGAACATATGACATATTTCTAATTACAAACTATGCAAGGATGAAATGTAAATGCAATCTGGAATCTCTAGAGCTGTACATGAAACTTTAATATCCAAGTTAAACTGAAGTCATAGGGTTTTTTTTTTTTTAAAAAGATCATCTCTGTATACTCAAAAACAAGTAGAGAAACAAGTAATCTTCAAAAGTTAACTTAATTATTTGGAATTCTTAAAGAAATAAATGTTTAGATGACACTAGGATGAGCCATTTGTTTGTACTTGATTGAATTGCTCATAATAGTTCATGTTGTGGAACATAATATTTACTCAAATGGAGAAATGTTATCTGTACTGGCAGTATACAAAAGTTGTACAAATTATAACTGTTTCTTGTAACTATATGTATTATCTCTGTCATGTTGATATAATTATGCTATGGCTTTTTCCTCATATTCATATTGACAATATCAAACTGGTAATCATGTTCCTTCTCTT